CCCCAAAACCCCAAAACCCCAAAACCCCAAAACCCCAAATAGAGAAGGTTATTGAAAATTAATTAATTTAGACAAGTCCAAATGCTCCTTTGATATAATCTACTTCGTATTGCACTTCTTCTATTCCTGAATAATTTGAGATTCTCTTTCCTTCTTTAGGGATGCTGTCTAGGAATGCTTTTATCTCCTCATTTGTTCAGTTGATGTCTGACTTGATCAAAGTCAGAGCGAGGTCATCGTATGAGAGATATCCTTCAAGCCCATTCTTTACATTAAGATAATCAATTCTTTCACGGAGGTACTCTTTATCATGCTCGTTAAGTTTAGCAGGGAAAATTCTGAGACTATCTTCTTTATTAAATTTTTCTTTCAGGATCCCATGGATATTAAACTCTGCAGTATCTCTTCTCAAAGTGTTCTCAAACTCTTCTTCGTCAGATTCCTCCATCCTTGGTTTAGTAAAGGATTCTCCAAAGTTTTCTCCCTTTCTGAGGAAGCTAAAGAATGATTTAAAATTGATCTTATCCTCAAAGGAGGGAGTGACCAACTCAAGAAGGTTTTGAACTTCTCTTCCAGAAAGTCTAAACTCTGATTTCAACAAAAACTCGAAATCCTTCCTGTTTATTGTTGCTTCAGATTCTGGCTTGCCATCTCTTGCAGCATTTTCAAGAGACATTTGCTTGAGCTTGGCTTCGAGTTCTTGCTCTTTTTCTAGAGAATAGTCTTCTCTAATTTTTCTGACAGCTGCTTGGGCGTATTCATTGTCTTTAAGGACTTCATCGTTCATGACTATTTTGCTCTCGTTGAAATCCCCATCTTCTTCATCAGGCTTGACGAAAAAGTGTCTCCCAGTGGCAAAGAACTGCTTTGAAGGGATCACTGATGTGTAGAAATGTGCAGGAGCTACAAACTCCTTAACATCAGTGATGAGAGGGTTCCTTGGGCATTCCAAATTTACTGCAATATGATCAAGATGGACTCCTCAGAAAGTGCATATCAGCTGGAACTTGTTCAATTCGTTTGCATAATCATCCAATAGAGTGAGACTTTGGGCAACATGAGCCTTAGTTTGCTTATCCAGTTCGTCTTTAATAGTCTTTTCTCTTATCTTCATTTCTTGGACAAGCTTGAGGATAACATCGTTCTTTTCTTTAAGAAGTGCCTTTTGCTTATTGAATTCATCAGTTTGAACTCTCTTCTCAGCTAATTCTCTGGGAAGATCATTAGGGATCACTGGAATATCTACTTTAAATTGCTTAGTGATCAGTTCATCAATGTCTTCCTGGAACCTTTTAAATTTCATAAGAAAGCCCACTTGATTTATTCCACCACCAACTGGCTGGACTAGATTTTGCCCAGGTGCTGGAGCTAATGGAGCTGGAGTGGCTTGAGGAGGGCTCACACCATTTAGCTCATCTAAGTGTTGTAAGATTGAGTCTATCCTATTCACTTCCTTTTGTAGTTCTGCAATGTCATATTGAAGGATAGCTAGTTTGACACCTTCAGCAGAATTAAGCCTCTCGACGATGCCTCCATACTCATTTTTAATGTCTCTATAAATTATTCCTTTGACAGTTTTTATTTCTTCAATCCTGTAGTCAACTCTTGTTATCTGGGCTATTAGCTGGGTTCTCTTAGGGATTAATGTGTTTTTGACAGCATTCACAATTATGTCATACCTTGCATTGAATGCATCTGGGATAGAAGAGATTCTATGTAATTGTGTATTATGTTGCCCCATGAGAGGGGAATCAAATCAAATGACATCTTCTCAAGTCTCGCAGTATATAGAATTGCTTGCATTTGGTAAAGCATTGACTGGAGCAACAGGAGCTTCAGCTTTTACTTCTTCTTGAGATTTACTCTTTGCTAACTTCTTCTTTTTGGGAGCACTCTTACCTTTCTTTCCCGCTGCTTTCTTCTTTGGCATTTATTATTTTAAATAAATTCAAATATTTTAACAATTTAGGGGTTTTGGGGTTTTGGGGTTTTGGGGTTTTGGGGTTTTGGGGTTTTGGGG